CAGTGGGTGTTAAGCACTTTTTTGCATTTGTTTCTTCTATGCCTATTTTAAATTATATAAAGCACAGATGTTAATAAAATGTTTGGTATTATAACACCTAACTTTTTTCTGGTGTGTGTGTGTACAGTATTTTCAGTATGGGTTATAGACCACAAATATCTAGAAACAACACACTTAAAGGTGAAAAATAGTGTTTGACTTTCACTTGGGTTTGAACATTGCCATCATAAAAAAAAAGGGTGACATTGTTTTATGTGTTTGCAAATCTTTAATATTCAATTTAATAGAATATAGTTGGTATTTTATATGTGCTCCTGCATTTAATGTGTTGACATAAATAAAATCTGGCCTCATGTAGATATAGTAAGAAAATGGAGTGTTTTAATACTCTTTTCAGGTAACTGTCAACATTATCCTTAGATACTTCATCAAAAATCATGGAATCCAGCTTTTATCTTGTTAAAATCCATTTGTCAATCTTATACTTTAATATACCCACAGATGATTTTGCAGCATTATGTACTGTTTGCAAAATACTGGTTCAATGAATTAGGCAGATCTTCCATCATCATATTTCATTGTATGGTATTATAAAACCATGCTCATTAATATCATCACCAATCTTATCACAAAGGTCTAAGTACTGGAAAACTGTCAAGTTCATGGCGGCAGGTAACTTGTTCTTCAATATTCTAATCCTCTGTTTGAAAGTCAAATTAACAGAAATTGCCATCAGTTTTCTTCACTGGCAATTTTTTTAAAAAATCACTTCATTTTTGACAAACTGTCTACCAAACATCCAAGTCTGAGTCACCTTATCCAAAACTTGTCAGCTGAGCTTTCAAATAAAACTGGTGTCCATAAAAAGGTAGCTGGTACAGCTCACAAATTAAACAATCATACAAGTGCATCTCCTTGAAACAGCTTCATACTTCAGCATGAAGGACTTTACATGTATTTCTCTTTTCATCACACAAAATGTTTAAAAGATGTATACATACCAATTTTAATATCATGGCTGTGATATTATAGTATAATTTTGTAAGACATTACCATTTGAGTAAACTGAGTAAAGAATACATGAGGTTTCCCTATATAATTTCTTGCAACTGTGCATTAGTTATCTCAGAATTTAAATTATACTTTTAAAATGCTATACTCAAAGGTCAAGATTTAACAAAAGTCTACTATTTTATGAAGAATATTCTTAAGTGAAACTTGCATTGTTGACCACAAATAGGAGGTGGTTAAAAAAATACAATGATGCTAGTAGTACAGTTTGCTGCAGTCCATGGGGTCACAGTTTGACACAACTGAGCGACTGAACAACAGTTTGGTGTCACTGCTATGATTCATGCTAAGAGCCCAGCAGTTTTACCCACGACTGCTGACTGATTTTGCACCATTAGTGCAAATTTCAACAAGACAGAAAAAAGCAAGTAATGTCTTAGTGTTATAATGAAATTTGTTTTGACAATGCAGATCATTTGAAAGGGCCCCACCCAAAATCCTCTGATCACACTTAGGGAACCAATGATCCATAATAATAAGTCAAAATTGAATTAAACAGTTCCATCAACATTTACTGCTACTCCTTTTAAAATGGAACATTTCCATGATGACTATAACAGACTTACAGATTTGAAGCAATATTCATTGTTTCATACTCTTTATCATCTTTTCTTCAAAATTTTCTGCAATGTAGTCTACTACTTACCAGAAGGTTAGCAGGATGGGTAGTGGTTGCTCTGGGGCAATTTTTCTGTTTTAAACACCTAGAGCTATCACCTCAGGTTATGAAATATGAGGCAGTAGTGGATAGCTAGTCCAGACACGGACTGAAGAAAAAAACACATATGCAAAAACAAGACTGAGGATTCCCATATCTGAATACCATGTGGTGTTTTATCTCCTAATCAGTTTCCATATTTGCACAGATTTTAATGCTAGGCCCAGATAGACACCTCAGGTTACCTGTCTTGTCTCTTATGAGAGGTTCTAAGCAGAAGGCCTGATGGAGGTTTAAGAATCAGTGGTGGGCGTGGGGAGCACCAAAATATAGGGCTTCTTTCTACCCCTTTCTCAGAACATTTCCAGGTCTTTCTGTTTGGTTGCTGCTCCATAAAAATGTTTCCCAAGGTTTGTGTCTATTTTGAATTTATTTAAGTCTTCATACACCAGCAGTGCTCTGTTTTTTCCTGTTGAGAGTTTTAAACAGTTTGTGGCAAAATCTTTTATTTTTATGAATCAATTACACTGCAAATGGAAGTGTTCCTTCTGAAAGTTAAAAAATAGTAAAAGGTATGTTTAATTTTGGAAACCTTATGTTTGTGACATGACATGATTTTATAGAAAAGAGTAATTAGGTTCTAAGACCTAAAGAGATTAAAACTCAAAAGATATTTTTCTGTTGAGGAAATGTAAGAGCATGAGGTCAGGATTTACCATGAGGAGGGTTAAGAGGTAGAGGCCAGGTCAACTGCTCCATCAAAGATAGTATTTCATAATTTTTCACCAGGTTCTGCTCACTCCACTCAAACTTAAGATCTTGAACAAAAATTAAGACTTTTACACCTCGTATTATTTGAGACAGTGATTCCCTAACTCTAACTCCTTTGGATATCAAGGCTTTGGGACCACTGTTTATTTTTTCCATAAACTGAAAGTCTCTTGAGAGTCCCTTGGACAGCAAGGAGAACAAACTAGTCAATCCTAAAGGAAATCAACCCTGAATGTTCACTGGAAGGACTGATGCTGAAGATCCAATACTTTGGTCACCTGATGAAAAGAGCCGACTCAATGGAAAAGACTCTGATGCTGGGAAAGATTGAGGGCATGAGGAGAAGGGGACAACAGAGGATGAGATGGTTGGATGGCATCATCAACTCAATGGACATTAGTTTGAACAAACTCTGGGAGGTAATGAAGGACAGAGAAGCTTGGCGTGCTGCAGTCCATGGGGTCACAGAGTTGGACACAACTGAATGACTGAACAACAAAGCTGAAAGCCAAGCACTGAGTATTGCACTTGAAATACTGCTTCACCACTTTCTAAGTACCCATATACTTTGTTTTTCTATGGCTTTCAGATCTATTCTAAATACCTGTACACAAATAAAAATAAGTTGTAATACAATTCCTGTATTTTCCTGCCTATCCTTAGAAAACTTATTTTCTAAATATAATTCACAATCATTTAGTCAAGTTTCATGAAAAAAAACGGCCTTGGGACAAGATTCTAAGTAAATTTGTGAGCCACTGCCATTTCCAAAAAGAGACTATTCTCAACCAAAAATGTAGTATATTTTACAATGGTTGGAAAAACTTAAACCTAATAATTACTAATGGGATGTTGTAACTCAAAAAAGAATAGAAAATAATTTCATTTTACATTTCTGTATATGTGTGCATATTTTCTTTATAATACTACATAATACATTTCTAGTCTAAATACACTCAGTCAACAAAAGTATCTACAGTATGGATTCAGCCTGGAAACCAGAGAGTCCCAGGAAGCAAGCAAAGATATGATATTTCAAAAATGGATAACTCTTCCCAAACTTAAAGCTAGGATACTTAAAATCTTTCTTACCTGTCAGCCCTTTGTATAATAAAACCTTCTACCCATGCATTATCTCTTATCCCCATGAGCTGACCATGTTCCAGACTTTCACTGAAGTGGACTCTGCTGGGTCATGCTCTGTGGAACCAGCATTAAATCAGCTATGGTTTCTGTCTCTTGTTCTCAGGTCAAACAGACATCAAGAGATGAGCTCTAAAACTGCTGTTACAACATCCAGGTTACTGTGGAAGGAGTGTTCAAGTATACTTGGGAAGTATATTGGATATTGGAATTCTATCAATTCTCTAGTTTCAACCTACTTAAGTACTCTCTCCATCAAGTTACCTGAGAGACCTTCCAAAATCTACCATCCCCAGTAGAGAAAATCAGAGCCCCTGAAACAGGCCAGCAACAATTCTCCTTCAGGAATGAAGATTCTGACCCTTACCATTAGTCTCGTGAACACTCCCATCACACATAGATGTCTCTGTTTTAGAGTCAGCCAATGGCTGACTTATTACTGAAGCTACAGCCCTGGATGGGATTTCCGTTGTTTCGTGCAGTGTGACTACTGGCTAAAGGTTTCACTGCTTGTACACACAAGGTTTCTCTCCTGAATGTGTCCTCTGATGTCTGAGGAGGTTTGATTTCCAACTAAAGCCTCGCCCACACTTTCTACAAATGTAAGGCTTCTCTCCTGAATGTATCCTCTGATGTCTAATGAGGTGTGACTGCCGGCTAAAGCCTTGCCCACACTCCTTGCACACATGAGGTTTCCCCCCTGAGGGTGCCCTCTGGTGTGTAATGAAGGTTAGCTTATCATAAAACCCCTGCCCACACTCCCTGCACACAAAGGGGCTATCCCCTGAGTATGCCCTCTTGTGCCTAAACAGGTTTGGCTTCTGGCTAAGCCTTCTACCACACTCCTTGCATATGCAAGGCTTTTGCCCTGAATGTGTTCTCTGGTGTGAGACAAGAGTGGACTTATCATTAAAGACTCATCTGCACTCCCTGCATACAAATGGCTTCTCCCCTGAGTGTGTCCTCCGGTGTGTATTGAGGGTTGACTTCCAGGTAAAGGCTCTCCCACATTCCCTGCATAAGAATGGCTTCTCCCCCAAGCGTGACCTCTGGTGTTTGTTGACATCTGACTTCAGGCTAAGGTGCTGCCCACACTCCAGGCACATGTAAGGTTGAACCCCTGAGTGTGTCCTCTGGTGTCTTGAGGTTTGATTTCCGGCTAAAATGATGCCCACATTCTGTGCACACATAAGGTTTCTCTCCTGTGTGTGTCCTTAAGTGTCTAATAAGGTATGACTTCTGGCTAAAGCCTTGCTCACACTCCCTGCAAACATAAGGCTTCTCTCCTGAGTATGTCCTCTTATGTCTGATGAGGTGTGAATGCTGGCGAAAGCCATGCCCACACTCCTTGCAAATGTTAAGGCTTCTCCCCAGAGTGTGCCCTCTGGTGTGTGACAAGATTTGACTTCAGGCTAAAGCTCTGGCCACACTCCTTGCACACATAAGGCTTGAGCCCTGAGTGTGTCCTCTGATACATGAAGAGGTTTGATTTCCAAGTAAAGCCTCGTCCACACTCCTTGCACATATATGGTTTCTCCCCAGAGTGTATCCTCTGCTGTGTGATGAGGTTTGATTTCCAGGTAAAGTCTCGTCCACATTCCATGCACACATAAGGCTTTTGCCCAGAATGTGTCCTTTGGTTTTTGATGAGGACTGACGTACTGCTGAAGTTTTGTCCCCACTCAGTGTACATGTAAGCGGTCTCTCTTGTGTGTGTCTTCTGGAGGCTGAGCTGGTTTGACTCCTTGATAAAGCCTAGCCCAAAACTCTCCATATTTGATTGCTCCAAATCTTGAGATTTCTAAACCACATAATATTTTGTCTGTTTCCTCGAGGTCTGTCCTCTGGGCCAGGCTGGGCCCTATATCCACCACTGTGTTGTCTTCCTTGGATGTTACTGTCTGTTCTTCCAGGGGGCTGGAGATTGCCTCTGAAGCACTGCTTCTGGATATTCTCCTGAACAAAAGCTTGGAATCTTCTTTCTCTTGAATTTCTGCTTGGTGGCTCGAGCAGGTTTGATCAGAGAGTTGCTCCTGCACTTGATCTTCTGTGCAGTGAAAATGGAAGTGTTCCTTCTGAAAGTTCAGAAGTCTGTGATCTTCTGAACAGTGTTTCCCTGAATGGAGATGATTTCCTGCACATAAGCTTGAGAATAACTGAGGGAGATGGCTGAACCACACAGGCTGGATGAGGGCTTGCTGGAAAGAGAATGCCAAAGGACAGGTGAGACAAGGTTGAATTTCTAGCTTTGATCCTGCTAAACAATGTTTTCAGTCATAGGTAGGGCTGCCTTGGCCATTCTGCTTTGCCCACTGGTCATTTATAATATATTTACATCACAAGCTGTCTCCCACTCAGCCATCCTTCCCAAGATCTATTTTGCATTTCACTTTATGCATCACATTTTTTTTTAATGCATCACATTTTTATTGTAGGAAACAGTAAGCTTGATCAGTGGACCAAATCCAGCCTGCAATCTGTTTTTTGTATGGCTACATATAATATCTATTATATCCAGTTTTCAAAGAAACAGGAAAGAGTGACATAGTTAAGGAAAAAAATTACAGCCAATAGAAAACTGATTTAGGGAGAAAAGAAGACTTCAAAGCTGATATTATGAATATATTCAAAGAACTAAAGAAAACAATATGTGAAAAATTAAAGGTAAGTATTATAACTTAAAATGGAGAATCTCAATAAAAAATAGGAACTTTTTTTTTTTTTTGGCTGCACCATGCAGCAGGTGAGATCTTAGTTCCCAGATCAGAGATCAAACCCAATGTCCCTTGCACTGAAAGCATTCAGTCTTAACCACTAGACCACCAGGGAAGTTCCAAGAATAGAAACTATTAACAAGAAACAAAAGGAAATTCTGAAATCAAAAAGTAAAATAAAATTACAAAGTTACCAGAGAGATACAACAGCATATTTGGCTTTGAAACAGAACCAGTGAACCTGAAGATAAATTAATAGAAATTACCTAAAAACTGAAGAGAAGAATTAAAGAAAGACTGAAGAAAAACAGAGTCCCAGAAACCTCTAAGACACCATCAAGCAAACCAAACCTATGTGTAATGGTAACTCAAGAAGGTGAAGACAGAGAGAAAAGAGCAGAAAAAAATATCTGAAGAATTTATGGCTTAAAAAGTTCCAAATTTAATGAGAAACATTAGTCTACATATCTAAGAAGCTCAACAAACCCCAAAATAAACATAAAGACAGCCCTAGCTAGATACATCATAGCCAAAATGTTGGCCATCAGGGAAAAAAAGACAAAAGGAAAATCTTGAAAGCAGCAAAAGAAAAATGACTCAACATGTACAAGAGGAAAAACAATATGACTAGTGTTAACTTCTCATCTTTGGTCACCTGATGTGAAGAGCTAATTCACTGGAAAAGACCCTGATGTTGGGAAAGATTGAGGGCAAGAGGAGAAGAGGGCAACAGAAGATGAGATGGTTGGATGGCATCACTGACTCAAAGGACATGAGTTTGAGCAAACTCAGGGAGATAGAGAAGGACAGAGAATCCTGGCATACTACAGCCCATAGGGTTGCTATGAGTCAGACATGATTTAGAGAGTGAACAATGACAACTCATCAGAGACAATGGGGACCAGACAGCAGTGGAATAACATATTTAAGGTTCTGAAATAAAAAAGGAAAGACTTCTATCAATGAAGAACTCTCACAAACCTATCTTTAAAAATGAAACTGATATAAAGATATTCTCAGATTAACAAGTACTCAGAATATCTGCTGCCAGCAGACATGCCTTATAAGAAATACTTAATAAGTTCTTCAGGCTGAAAAGAAATTGACACCAGATAACACTGATACTAAGTCAAATCCACAAGAAGAAATGAGGACCAATGAAACTATTAAATATCTCTGGGTAAATATAAAAGACAATGCATGTATATTATTCTCTTAATTTCTCTAAAACACATAAAACTATTATAAAGGCAATAAATATAATACTATATTGTGGGCTTTATAATATATATATAAACATTTTATTGGAACTAAGTTAGTATTAATTATAAGTAGATTGGGATAAACTAAAGTGTATATTTTATTTCCTCGAGCAGCATTAGGAAAATAACTCCAAAACAAATTTAAAATCAAGTGGAATTAAAATAGTACACTTAAATTTTTTAAAAATAATAATATGCCATTAAAGGGGGTATAAAAATAGACATGAGACATATTTTTAAAAATAGCAAAATGGCAGATTTAGCCATATTAATCATTATACTAAATATGAGCAAACTGAACACTCCAAACAAAAGGCAGAGGTTATCCCACTAAATTAAAAAAGCAACATCAAACAACATGTTACTAACATTAACATTATTGTTAACATTACATTAACATTACAGTAACATTAACATTAATGTTATTAACATGGGACACATTTTGGATCCAAAAACCACAAGTAGGTTAAAAGGAAAGGACGAAAAAAGATATACCATGCAAACAATAATCACCAGAGAACTGGAATGGCTACTCTATTAATAGTAGACAAAGGAGGTTTCAAGACAAGGATTATTGCTAGAGAAAAAGATGGACACTTCATAAAGACAAAAAATAAGATAAATAAATCAGAATGGGCAATAAATCAGAATGATTTAACAATTATAAAGGTATACACAATTAAAAAGAGCCCCAAAATACATGAAAAAAAACCTTACAGAACTAAAAAAAAGAATTAGATAATTCAACAATAATATTGGAAATTTCAGTATTCTATTCTCAATAACAGAAACAACTAGACAGGGAATTCCCTGGTGGTCCAGTGGTTAGACTCTGAGCTCTCAGTGCTAACTAAAATATCATAAGCCGTGCAGTATGACCAAAAAAAAAAAAAAAAAACTAAAAATGGATCACAGGCTTAAATGTAAAAGCTAAAAGTATAAAACTTCTAGAAGAAACCAAAGGGAAAAAAATGTATGTGGCCCTGTGTTAAGCAAACTTCTTAGTTATACCACCAAAAGCACAATTAATTTAAAAAACAGTTAAACTGAACATTATCAAAATGTAAAATTGAACATCATCATCATGAAGCATCAAGTTATGCTTGAAAGCACACCATTAACAGAATGAAAAGACAAGCCACAGACTTAAATTGGTAACTATACCATGGTTATATGAAAATATCCCCATTCTTAGAAAATCTTTTAACACACATCCACATGTGAACCTCCATACCCAAATATATATACATAAAGATATATATAAATATATACACATACATATGGTGGGGGGAGAAGGGCGAGCACACTCACAAGAGACACATATGCCAATGATAAAGCAAACTGGGTAAAATAGTAAGTGATTTTATGATGCCATTTTGTAGTTAATATATATGCGATATATATTTATGTGTGTGTGTAGAGGAGAATATGTAATATGTGTGTGTGTAGAGGATATAATGGTGTTTTTTGTACTATTTTTGCAGAATTTTTGTAATTTCCTGATACAAATGAACTTACAAAACAGAAAGAGACTCACAAACTTAGAAAATGAACTTATGGTTGCTGGTGGGAAGGGACAGTTAGTGAGTATGGGATGGTCATGTACACACTGCTATATTCAAAATGGATAACCAACAAGGACAGCACATGGAACTCTACTCAATGTTATGTGGCAGCCTAGATGGGACGGGTGTCTATTTAGAAAAAAAAACAAAATAAACTACAGGTGAATATTTAAACTACAAAACAAATAGAGAAGATGAATAAAATAAATAGGATGAAGCCCTCTTCTGAAAATGGCAGCAGACTGAATTGGTCACAAGTGTCCCCTGCAGAAAGCAAGCTAAGTGAGAGGAAGGCAGGCCTTCTGGAGGAGGAAAGAGACAGAGAAGCCAAAGAAGTCCCCCTCCCTTACCTGAAGACGATATTCTGGAAGGGAGGTCATGCCAGGCAGCCTTACCAGGGCCAAGAGGCCTAGAAAAGCTCTACCTCCCAGTACCTAAAAGTACCCCCTTCTTCCCTACCTGCCATGCTGCAGACGGTCCCAACTACCCTGTCTCACTCACCTGGACACAGACCCAGTGAATGCTGCCTCTCCTCTATCCAGGGCTCTTCCCCTTGTTCCAGCTTACAAATGAGTTCCGGTTTGGAAAACAGAATGTCTGCTCATAAGGAAAGAAAACAAGGCGACTTCTGATTATGCGTTTGAGGGGGCCATTCTAGAACCTAGCCAAAATGGGTGGGGGAAACCAAGAGAGTGGGACAAAGGGCCCATGAAGAGTGAACTCTCTGCAGTCGAAGGATTGAGGACTAAAAGGAGACTGCAATCAGAGAAAGAGCCTATCAAAACTTACTAAATGAAAAATCTGCTAGGTTTGGGGCAAGATAAAATTTTAAAAAAAAGAAAAAAAGCCTCTGACTTGGGAAAGAGACCTGAAAATGCAGAGTGGCATACACAATATGAATAAATCTATCTGCTTTCAGCTCTACTGAATCCAGATGTACTGTGAGGACAAAGGTAAATTATTGTTTTTAAGCTCAACCCTAAGACAAAGCTGTGTTGTGAGTAGCCTTTC